TGGGATCGTTGTGTTCACTCCCAGGGGAACTACTTCGAGGGTGATGGATGAATTTAATACCTGAGATAAGTGTACGGGTTTTTATACGCGCAGTCTGGAAACTTTCCGATCGCACCTCGTATATGACCAGCGCATCATAACAGACTTGGTTTAATTTCCCTCACAAAGCCCTTCAGTACATATTACTCTAACATTTCCAAATTGTTTCATCCCTCTTACACCAAAAATTTTCTTGAGAAATTATTTCCAAACAAAGCTCACAGAAAAATTGTTCGAACTAATACGGATATGTATACAACTCCCTTAAAAAGTTCGAGTAACACAATATTTATATTATACCTTGAACAAAACAATTATTAAACAAGCAAAAGCTTGGAGCGGTATATTTATCATCTAAATTCTTAATTATACCTTTAATGCGAACTCAGATGTCATTATAATTTATAAAAGATTTTCCACTTAGCAACATAATAATAATTACATCTCACGTGTCAATAACATTAGTGCTAGATTTAATATCAATATTAGACTGTCATTAAGTTGCTGTCTTCATACGTGCCCATTCATGGATGAAGAAACTAGTTAACTGGCTACTTGCGACAGCTTCAATAAGAAAATCCCACCTTGGAGATTATAACAAACTTCATGGTGGCCTTTCTCGACACGTTTAAGGTTGTCCAGCTGGTCAAAGAATAAAATCCATTGTTTCATAAAACCCGAATGCTCATCACCGTGTTCAAAAAAGCCTGTCGTTTGACAGTATTCTGATTCATGACAAAACAGCCCACTATAAAACTACATACTTAAGAATCATTTTAATATTATCTTCCCATCCATGTCGCCCACATCATGCTCCTTGATTTAATCACCGTAACAATTCTGAATGAAGAGTACAAATGTACAAACTACATTATACGAGTATTTCAACGATTATTTAATACTTTGAACCGGAAGTAATTCTCCCAGTTTTACATATCAGACAGCAACACTACAGCAGATGCGATTTATAGCGAAATGAATACATTTTCAGACAAAGAACAATGGCGATTTAATAAGAAAGTTCAGGAATGGAATTTCATTTCCAACGAAACGGCATTCACTTTTCTTGTAAGAATTGCTTTCAATCGGCGACAGAAAAAGGAACAAGGGGTAAGACATTTTTATGAATACGCTACGAGTCACAATGTTTTGACATTACGCACTGAATTATATACAGAGTGTCCCACGTAAGTCGAAACTCGTTCAATAGCATTCGACGGCTATGGTCTGCGTCCATGATTCCAAGAAACAGAAATCGGAGATCCAGCATTAACACTCCTGCTTCGTATTTCAAAGGCACCAGATTACATGAGACTATCCTCAGTAGGCCTAGACAAGATTTTGGTACAGTAGTCTAAAACAGACCACTACTGCTTCCTTCCTCATATTTGCCAATTCATCAGTCACATAATCATCCCACCAATCGATGTCACACAACCAACGCTCTTTAGAAAGAATCGTTAAGCAGATTCAAAAAGTCCGGTCTGTCTTGTCGTATTCGGCGCCAAATTTCCACATGCATCTGAGGACACAGTTACTCCAGCGACGCCCTGTTGATGGTAAACTGAGTGACGTGAGTGTCGACCCTCCTTCCAACAACGGCAGTTTGAAATCCGACTAGACCCTGAATCGATTACCACTGCGTTCGGTAGCTGTTTTCCAGCCGATTTAGATAGGTCAAATCCGACCAACAATATTGCTTACATGAACTAACACGATATTCATCGAAGTTGTATTAACAATGTGCTAATATACCATCCATATTAACTAAACAATGCAGAATTATGTTAACAGTAGCTCAGCCAGTCATTACGTTTTATGCTTTTATGGAAGCACATAGTTCATCACTGTCTTCATAAAAGTCTGTCATTACACTTTAACATGAGCCAGTTTGATCCAATTCACTCCAATACTATCGATTTTGATTTTTATTCTCCCATCTACGCCTAGGTCTCCAAAGAAGTTTCTTTCCTTCAAGGGTTTCTAATAAAATTCTGTATGGGTTCCTCAGCTCCGCCATGCGTGCTACATGTCTAACCTTTTTTATTCTCCTTTATTTAATCACCCTGATAACGTCAGGTAAGGAAACAACATCCAGTTGTTCCAGAATACTCTGTATCACTATTGATGAACTGACATATTATATTGCTTAGGCATATTATTTAGCCCATTTACTTGAGAATTATCACTCAATAAAGGAATTTAATTTAATTATTATCATTAATATGATACATTTATATATTTAGTTTCATTTTTTTTTTGATTTTGTATTTGTAATGTTATACATTTATTATTATCGAAATGAATATAATTATTACATTTTATTTTGTATTGTTGTTCAGCGTTTTCTGAGTTGTTGCGCCCTGTTGTCTAGTAGAAGTTTACCGACGTTTCAGAGCCTGATGGTAAAGGCCGCAATCACCTCTGAAACGTCGGTAAACTTCTACTGTGGACTGCACGGCGCGACAGCTCAGAAAACTGAAATCTTCATATTCGCCACCGCGATAAAGTGAATCTCACACATAGAAACCATTTACAAAGCAAGTAGGTGACAATGGGTAAACACTCTGGGAACAGAACATTTAATGCTGTATTTATATTCCGAGCGGGGCTCGAAGCAGTCGTCCCACAGAGTGCCGGATCATGAAACTGTGTGTCCATCGGAATCGTCATGAACCAGACGGAAATTCTGCGTTTCTCTTGTACAAGTACCACCACACTTGCGCCTGGAGTTCGTGTTCTGTTTTTTACACTACGTTTCACCGGTGTTAGTTCCAATGGTTGCGTGTCTTTGTAAAACGATGGAGCAGCGGTTACCTTCCAGGAATTCACACATTCCACGTCTCCGTGGAAGCAAGCCAAGTGGTATGGCAAAACTGAAATTCTTGTTAACTGTTCGGTTATTACGCGACGCGACGCTACGTGACATGACGTGCGTATTCGGGCAGCACAGGTGGGTCCAACTTGCGTCCTGCAGGCCGCATGCGAGACTCTTAGATGCTTTAATTATGTACCATGTGTCGCCCCAAATATCCCAGTTTTGATAAAATTTTAATTTTCAAACAGCTTTTTGTATACAGCTGTTGTCGGTAAAGTGATTTC